GTGTCAATTGGCTCGTATAGCTGAATCTCTCTCAGGATCTGTTGCAAACTCTTTGAGTTTATATCTTTGATTGCTTAATTCTTTGGAGCAGGAATGACTCACTGACAGAGACACTGACAGTTTAATTTTAATGTTTTGCATAGTATATATTTGGTGTTCGTGTATGTATAAGAGTGTATATTTGCTACACGCTTGTATCTGTCTGTTCGTCTGAGTGCATGACTAAACGCGGTATGACTAATCGCTGAAACTCAACTAACTTTGTTTATCGAGTAGACATCAAAAGAAGCCGACAGACAATTTGGGACCGTGTTTTCCAACAGGATATACTCAAACGTGTTATTCGTCATTGCTATTTCGCTCTTAGATCTTGTTAAGCCGGCTTGAAACGTTGAGATGCGCTTCAATGTTTTGCAGCTGAAAGAATTTCGCAGGCTTTCTCCGAAGCCAAACCTCAAATATTTCATTTAAATTAATCTTTCTCATTGCTTTCCACGTCCTATTTTTTTTTTTTTTTTTTTTTTTTTGACACACCCACTTACTGGCTCCTCGATTCTACTCGACACTTCCCAATCACTAAGATATATACACCGGGTGTCATATCTCTCCTAGCAATGGTGTCTCATATTGACGTTTCATTGTATCTCCTCTGGCCCCAATCTAGCTAGACAATGTAACTGAACATTAACTTTAAAGTGGAACGAATTCTAACAAAAACATTTTTTAAGATAAAATTGTTGAAAAAATATTGAAGAAAAATTTAAAAATATTGATGAAGAAACACGGATCATTTGCTTCATGTATCACTTTGGTAAAGTTAAATTTTAAAAAAATTGACAAGGAAGAATATTTTTTACAATAAAAGAATTATAAATATAATTATTTTATAATTAGAAAAATATTGATTTTGGTAATTAAAGATATATTTATTTAATATAAGAATGAGAAATAATTATTTTATCGTAATTACACATATATTTATTTTCCATAATATAAGATAGGTACCTCCACAAATTAAATTTTCGAAACTTAAGGTTTAAAATGAAACTTTTAAAATGAAAAAGCATTATTGAAGATTTAATTCCTTAGTTGAAAGCTAAAGGATTAAATTTGCTATTTCCAATCAGTAAAATATTTTGGTGTATTTTAAATAAAAATTATATAGATTGGAATCTCAACTGTTTGTACGATTTAAGAAAATTTTCTTAAAAGTGTCAATTTCTTAATTTAAAAAAAATTTGTAAACAAAAACAAATTATTGGTTTTAAAAATACCCCCCAAAATATATTTCTGACACGTTGAGTAAAATTAGCAAATTTAAAGTTAAATTAATCTGAAATGAAATAAACATTATTTACAGCATAAAAAATTATTATACAAGCATTTCTTAACAACGCGTCATGTTTTTCTGAGCCAATAATTGATGTATTGACATTTTACAAAGTGATGACAGCTAATATGGATGATCGGAATTGACATAAATTTATGAAATCTAAGTGAACGTATTATTTTTTTGGGAGGGGGTAACTACCTAGTAATTTTTACAAATGAACACATTTTCAGCAATTATCTAATAATTTATTAACTTTTTTTTACCTTTCAAAGATGCTTTATGAAAAATAAAAATATTTAAAATATTATAGAATTTTCTTAAATTTAAAATGTAATAACGGATGAAATACCATGATGTTATAGTAATTTAATTATTATTAATTTATATTTAATATATTTTTCATTTTATTTCTATTACTAATTGTTATCATGACGGTTATTTTATTTAAGTTTTCATAGTACTTTAAATTTTATTAATATCACTTTTGAAACACCATACTCAAAAACAATAAAATTTTAACACAAAAAGTTATTTTTTAATTATTATAAAAATCTTTGGTGTGATGAGTTGTATTGAGCTTTTCAATTTTCGCTTTGTAAATATAGTCGTCACTTAATAATTTAATAATAACCGTTTTCTTGAGAAGTTTAGAAGAATTTTAAAAGATTTTTCAAACTTCATAATTAAAAAAATGCAAACAATTCTTGTGAAATTATTCGGACTATTGTCCTCATCTTTTTCGCCATATCTATCACAACGTTTCGGCCGTTGTACGCTCCGGCCTTCTTCAGATGTTTGGAATGTCGAACGAACCCTTTATTTCGCTCACTGGGGTAGACTGTTCTAGTTCCACGTGCCATGTTTGATGGACATCAGTTATCTCCTGTTAATTTTCCCTCTGAAAGTTCTCCACTGCCTTAACCGGGTATTGAACTCAAACTCTTTGGGTCCTGTCACTGGATCTAACCAACGCCTTTATCCACTGTACCATGTGTCCTTGGGAACACATGGCCGAAATATAGACAGATTCTTGTAAAAATTCATTATTTATCGCAATAATATCCTTAATATATATTATTTATAGAAGCAATTAAAAGCTTACCTAATTAAATAATTAGATAGTTTTATTGCAGTTTTTATTTTACGATTTAGAGCAGATTTTAGAAAAGTTGGTGTAAATTAGGTTAAAAAAAAGGAGTCCTGTTTTAACATATAAAATCGTTTTGTTGGGCTATTAAATTCTAGAAAATTTTATGAAATTGATTAAGGCGGGGGTTAGCAATGTAAAAAAAATGTATTTTTACCAATATTTTCTAAAACATAATATTTTCAAAAATAAATTCATTCATTTGTAAATAAATTCAAAAATTTTCATTAAAATCAGACAATGATTTAATTTTCGCAAGAATGTCTAAATTAATGTGTTTTTCAACTTAAAAAAAGCGCGAAAAAAACAAAAACAAACTAATTCTAAATATTACGTAACCGCTGATCTAAAACAAAAAAACAAGAACAAGATTTTTAACCAAAATTTTGAAGTTATCTCATTTTCTTTCACTCGCAGTAGCCACTAGCAGGTGGCATTATCACCTTGCTTAGGATGAACTGATCATACATATATATATATATATATATATATATATATATATATATATATATATATATATATATATATATATGCTCACTTGCCCATGTGTAAAAAAGTGTAGTCAAAATGGTACACGTGAATCTTAATATCGCATATGTTAAGCAATTTGTTGCTGCACGAATTTCACACGATGAATGGGAAAGCTTATAGACGCGCACACGACTTCATTCTACCAAAAATCTGAAAAGGACGTAAAAACAACAGCAAATGAGGTAAAAAGAGGAAAACGCAAACGACGACCTTTTCAACAATTCATTTCTATTCACAAAGCTTTTCTTTTATGAAGAGGTAATAACAGAATGAAATGTGGATGGATATGAAATAATCTACAAGTGCGTCGGGATTATTTCACCCCTCCCCCCGCCAACTTCAAGATTCATTTGAGTAAGCGTTTCCTTTATAACTTAAAGAAACATATCAGCTGTACAACGCTCCACGGCTTTCATGTCAACAATTTCTTCTCGAGCCATCAAGATAACCTCGTCAATCCATCTTTTGGCTGATTGTATTTGTCTGGAGATATTGTGAAGGCTCTCAAGTGCCATTACCCAAATCATCTAATTTTGAATTTCAGGACTGATAGATTTCTCTGTTCTTCAGCACAACCATTTCGTCATATTAGTAAAAGCAGCTTGTGAAAGTTAGGCTCAACTTCGCTTCTTGATTTGTTACTCCAACTGCTTCGAAGTGCCAGTGACTGTCGAGTTAGGTAAATAATATTTATGAGAATTTTTAACAACATCTGGCGGTTTTGACTTTGTTTCATGGCGGCTTCAGACGGGATCATGTTTACAACATCGTTTGCTTTGGTAGTTGAAATATTTCCATAACGTTTCATGGATTCTTGATGAGCGTTTGAGGTTTGTTGTTTTTTTCGAACCCTTTTGATTGTTCACGGATCTTCCTTCTTGTCTTTGTAAAGGCATCTCCTTAGACCAAGGATTGAATTGAGAGAAATTTAGCCTCTTCAGAGACAGATAAAACAAAATGTGGAGTCTCTTTCGTCATCACAATGTAACCAGGGGTAACTGTCAAACCAATTGGATTGAAAGATCTTTTATGACTTTTTGGTCCACTCTTAGGGAAGAATATCAAGGACAATATTTTTCATGCAATTTACTTTCTCATGACTTTACGGAGATTTCTAGTGATCCTGGACGTAGTTGGATATCGATTAAAACTGTTCGCTGAAATTAATAGATTCGTGACATCGTAAAAAGGGTTGCTTGCGTTAAAATAAAAAAATAAGTTACTGAAGTCAGCCTGTATGTGCGTGGTGATCTCTTGACGCCTACCCGAAATGGGCCTAGTGATCAGCGTCAATCCAGGCGGTAACGTCTATAATGGATTGGGGTCGGGAATATTCTTGTTTCTAACCGGAATGTCTGGTGAATGTATGATGTTCGAGGGTGACGGGCTGGCTGTAGTCATATCTGTTTGGTGGTATCAGGCCGCCCGTCGACTCGCATAGTATGTTTGGGATTTTGTATCTAGTTGCGGGGTTACTTGGTGATTGCGGCTCCGACAGACCTTGGCGAAGTGGTAGAGAGTGCCGCAGTTCCTGTAATGACATTCCCTCCTCCTTGTCTCGATGTTGTTCCTGCCGGTGTGCGTTGGTTCTCCACTGTTAGGGTAGAATTCGTCATCTCTCTGGCCACCAACCTATTCATGGCTCGTGTTGGTAGTTCAGCCCCTTTTGTATACACCTGTTGCATGAGCGTTGACTGTACCACTCAGAGATGCCTCGGATCTCTTTCCTGACTCCTTCGCCCCCACAAACCTGAGGATGTCTTCTAGGGTGAGGTCCTGGTTTTCGTGGCTAAAAATATCCTGTGGTATTTCAGGATCCTCTAGGCCACGTATGGCAGCATCTCTGACCATCTGTTCTGTGAAATTTATTGTACGACCGCAAAAGACAGTCGCTGGTGAACTCACATGTATCTGCGCGGCCGTGTAATCTAGCAGCTAAGTTCCTGTCCCCCCCCCCTTTCATCTCTAGCCTGGTGCATATTCTGCAGAATGGCCCTGGATACCACGGTATTCGCCTCCCGAACTGCAAGGCGCCGTATTGCTGCTAAGACCGCCTCCGTTTCTATGCCGATGTCACCAATACAACGATGGAGGTCTCTTCGTGGTGGGGAGGGGATTCCACCCAGTATTCCATAAATTGGATGATCATCGTCGCCTTCCTGTAATTGTTCCATATCCTTAGGAAGTACTGCCAATCATCGCTTGAGCTACCACATGAGATGGTAGCGCGAGAAACTTTTTTCGGGTAGGGCGTCTGTTACCCTGGTTATGCTGTGGTTTATAGCGTTGATATTAAGAAGGGCTATTCTTTCGGAGGTGCCGTTTATCTGATGTAATTGCAGTCAGCAAAATAGAGATATGCGGTTTGTTGTTGCATGGCTGACTGTTATTAGGCGGGCGCTTTGACAAGGGGAAGTTGACGATTCTCGAGTAAAAGTTGTGCATCTATTGCAAGTTTACCTCTGATTTCGGTACAGAGGCATTCTGTACGGTTTTTATTTTGTGTGCAGAGGGCTCATCAATGGGTCTCAGATAAGATGGGCCATTTACTTTTATTTATAAACAATTATATCGTCGTTAGAGTCAAGTAATGACGATAATGATGAATAAGATTTCGACCCTCCTTATTGTTTTGAGGGATGTATTCCAATAGTCCCTTCTTCCTAGGGAGTGAATGTTGCCAGAAGGGCCTTTCGGTGAAAAGCCTTACTAATTAATCCATAGCTGGGGAGTGAGAAGAGGTGGATTCATACCTTTTCTATGTGAATATAACGAGCCCAACAGTAACTGGAACTCGGCTCTCCGATTGAAACATCGCTTTCCGAATGATCTCCGAAGTTAAGCAAGGTCGATGCGTGTCAGTACCTAACTGGGTGAACATTTAAGAATTCCAGGTGCTGCAAGCTTGGATGTGTGGATGGTGTAATGGATTTGTTAATCGGAGAGCCGAGTTCAAATTCCACTTGTGTTCCGTCTATATTTCTGAGATCAGGTATTATGTACACTATTTACATTGTTCGGACTATCATCCTCATCTTTGTTGCCATATTTATCACAACGTTTCGGCCGTTGTACGCTCCGGCCTTCAGGTGGTTGGAATGTCGAACTGAACCCTTTATTTCGCTCACTGGGCTAGACTGTTCTAGTTCCACATTCCATGTCTAATGGATGTCAGTAATCAGTTATCTCCTGTTAATTCCCATCTCCAAGTTCTCCACCACTTTAACCAGCTATTGAACTCACCAGTGCTCATATTGCAATTTTTGCTGTTATCATTGCATGATTTTTTCCAGAGCTCATATTGCAATTTTCGTTCTTGTTATTCCTTTTCTTTGGCACTCCTTATTACTGCGGTTTATATAACATCAGGACAACATTCAAAAGCTGGACGACACTTCGTAGATACCTCTCCTTCGTAAACAACCCCCTAGAAAAGAACATGGCCAAAGACTGTGTGTACACCATCCCGTGCAGCCGCGGAAAGAAATATAAAAGGGAGACAGGCCGCCCCCTTAAGGTAAGGCTTCAAGAACACCAGAAAGCTGTAACACGAGTGAAAGTGGAAAAATCAGGCGTGGCTGACCACATATGTGGGATCAGGTTTAAATCATAGACATAGAACATCATTGGAAAATTCGTAAACTTAAGGAATCAGCACATATGCTAGACCACAAAGATCTCCTGGGCTGACCAAGCATAGAAATAAATACAATATGGGAACCAGTAATAAGGAGTGCCAGTGAAAAGTGATAACAACAACGAAAATTGCAATATGAGATCTGGTAAAAAACATAAATGATAACAGCAAAAATTTCAGTATGAGCACAAATAAAAATGATTGCTGAAGACATTAGGTTTATAATATCCAGGAATTCATACTGAAAGACGCATGGCACAGTGGATAAAGACGTTAGTTAGATCCAGTGACAGGACCCAAAGAGAGTGAGTTCAATACCTGGTTAAGACGGTGGAGAACTTGAAGAGTGGAATCAACAGGTGATAACAGACATGGCACGTGGAACTAGAAAGGGTTCAGTTCAACATTCAAGCCACCTGAAGAAGGCCGGAGCGTACAACGGCCGAAACGTTGTGATAAATATGGCAACTTTTCTCCATCCTTAGCTATGGGTTAATTGGTAAGACTTGTCTCACTAAATCATTATTACCACCCCAAAAAGAAGCATTTTTATAATCTGAAAATTTTTTCTGAAGTTAAATAACATGAAAGGGGTTGATAAACCGTAAAAAATGAATCAATTAAATGAATTGTTTAAAAACTATAGTTCACCCAATAAAAGGTTACATATGGAGTATTGTTGCTACATCTAGCCTGGAGCTTCTCAGTCCTAACTTACTTGTCTAGATAGAGTTTAAAAGTGCATACGCAGCCTTGTGGGTGATGAATTATTTTCCACCCTACAATACCTTCTCCAAGACGAAACGCCGCAAGCCTCTCACTACTCTATTGTTATTTCCATGGCAAATGTTCTGAGGAGCTATAGTCCTTAGTGTCACCTATCCTGACCTTTGCTGCTAAGATTCGCCATACCAAATACACGGGGACGAATCGCCTCATTCCCTTCTTATTCCATTAGTAAGGAAGAAGTTCCATTCGGATACTTTCTTTCCTAGAACGGCAACTTTGTGCAAGAAACACCCGATATGATGTTTTCCGATCACTGCATTCTTAACCTCTTCAAGTCTAGATTCAACCATTATCTATCTTACCTAATCTCATTAAGCGCACTTCTTAACTCTTCCCTTACACTCATATAACTTCATTCAGTAACACTCTACCTTGAGAGGCTCTTGTACTTTGCCCGCGTGTGTGTGTATTAACACGTTATGCACCCCCAAACAAGTGTAAACGTCACGTGACACATCTCTCAACCCTTTCCAAGCAATTATGATGGATAATCGGGAGTAAAGTAAAAAGGACTTGTCAAATTGTGGGCCCGTCCTGGGTAGGACGATAAACTACATCCGCGTCCAGGATAAACTACGTCCAACAGCAAGGCCTCTGATCAGGAGGTTTTGAGGAGCAGGGAACCACCTCTTCTTCTAACTCAACACTCGAACATCGACTGATTGCAACAGATGTCTCTTTGTCTCTGCTCATAACGAGTGCAAGTGTGTCTTCAATGAAGGGAGGTTATTGATTGCTGACAGAAGGAAACAACTAGAACATCTCACAAGTTCGGTTCTAGAGATTATTGGCGACTGTGCAAGAGTTTGCTGAACAATAGCAAATCCTCAATCCTTCCTCTATTCAATCAATTCGAAGTCCTACGTAGATAAGTTTGAATGCTTTGCTCGTAAATTCTCTTCCATCTCAACACCCGACTCATCTGTAGTACCCACACCTAATTTCCCTTCTAGAACTGAGACTGTACTAAGTGATATGAGCATAACCTCGTCACTGGTCTCGGAGATCATTTCTTAATTAGATTCCCATAAGGCAAGTGAAAATGACGGGATCTCAGCCTTCATCCTAATCAGTTCCCAAGGAGGCATTTATCAAATCAGTTGTTAACTAGGGCAGGAAATGGCTTGTAAATTTTAATGCCTCCAAAACTAAACTGTTCTCATTTAACCATTATAGAGAAACTTCCCTGTCCGCCATCAACATCGCTAATGTTTAACTCCAGGAGAGCGTTTCACTACGCCTTCTTGGTCTCATGTTTTTAACTGATTTGAAGTAGAACAACTACATTTAATAAATAACTGCATCTACCACAAAGAAATTTGGTTCATTGTGTGGTGCCAGAAGGTTTTTCTCGTCAGAGTCCATCTTGCACATTTATAATGTCACGTGCATTGAATACTGTTGCCATATCTAATCTGGAACCCCAACTGTTCATTTCGAGGTTCTTGACAAAATCCAAAGAAGTATCTGCAATGTAATCGATCCTGATTTGGCATCTTGAATTCAATCACTTTCTCACTTGACGTGATGTGGTTTTCCCTCTGTCTTTTCTACAAATATTTTAATGACAACTGCTCTGACGAGCTTGCTACTAGATTGGCATCTAGGTCCCACTCTTTTACTCTTGAAATAGTTCATTGTAACCGCCACTTCTACTCCAATGGTTTTTTTTTCCGCACTTCCCGACAGGGGAACTCCATTCCGCTTACTTGCTTTCCTGATAACTACAATCTGCAAAAATGCAACGTCAATGGCCAACTTCTGTTGACTTGAAACCCGTTCATCTTTTATCCTTTCCTCAATTCCCTTTATATTCAGTCTTTTCTTTCTCACTCCCTGTAACCTCCTGCGTACTAGTGGCACTCCCGCCTTGCTTGAGGTGAAATGATAAAATAAAAAAAAACTTCTATGGCAACATAAATGTATTAAATACCAATAATGATAATAATAAGAAGAATCCTGATGAGTGGCGCTTCAATACTGATAAGATTTTCAGTCCTTTTATCTCTTTTTTATAGTCAAGTCAGTCTGATATGAAAACTCAAAAAAAAAAAGAATAATAATAATAGAAGATACGAATAGAAACTACAGATTCGGACAACGGTAAAGCTCCTGATAATGTTGCTTCAGTAATAACTCTAATGATTTTTATAATATAGAAAACACAGTGTGACTTTAAATATTTATATCTCGGGCATCCTTAACTCTCTTATTTAAAATGATGAGATATTCCATTGTAGTGGTAATAAGAGGCTTCCTCGATGCTAATAGGTGAACATGCTTGGTGTTACCATGATAACTGAATATGCCGTTCGTAAATAGTAAAACATGCTGCCATATTGGTTTTTATTTCTTTTATATCATTTTACTTTTAATGATTCGATGCCAGTTGATCGTATAGGAAAATATTCCAGATTATTAACAACAACAACAAAAACGATTATTTGCATTACTTACATATTATTCGGGCTGTTATCCTCATCTTCATTGTCATAGTCACAACTTTCGGCCGTTGTACGCTTCAGCCTTCTTCAGGTGATTGGAATTTCGAACCGAACCCTTTATTTCGTCCATCTGAAGAAGGCCGGAGCGGATAACGGCCGAAACGTTGTGAATATGACAATGAAGATGAAGATAACAGTCCGAATAATCTAAATAATGTAAATAATCATAATACCCCATCTCAAAGATATAGACAG